ACTGTGTGCCAACATGAGCAGCCTTCAGGAGACCCAAGTACCTTCAATGTGAGCCGGACTTCAACATGAGCATGGAATTTCAACCTGCTGGGGCAGCTTTGGGAGCAAAACCAGGAGTGGAATTTGGCAGAGTTCAGGGGTGGCTTCCTGTGTTAGACTCGTGCATGGTTAGAACTCACTGCTAGAGTTTTCTGAAGGTCAAAGGGCAATAAGCCAAGCAAGCAGGCAGGGGAACAGTATTTCCAAAGGAAACGAGATGGGGTGCAAGGGTGGCGAACTGAAAAGTTCAGAATGGCTAAAGTAAATAGCTGAGCCCGCTGTGGTGGGAGGGGCAGAGGGCAGATCAGGCCATTCGGAGCCTGGGATCCAGGCGGAGGGGAGCCGCGAACAGGGTCTGTGCAGCAAACAGATACAGCTGAGCTTCTGGTTTTCACAGGATGAAGTGGGCAGGTTATTACAAAGACAATTTAGGGTGTTCACACCCCTTCTCCCGGCCTCGCACCTCAGAAAAGAGACCAGACTGTCTCCTGGCACAGTGTCACAGGCCAACAGCCCGCCTGCCCTGGAAAACCCAGCCTGGCTGCAACTGGAAGGGTGCGCTGACTGTGCGGTGTGGTGATGACACCGCTGCTGAGGAGCCGAGTCTGACTGCTGCCACGCCCGGGGGGCAGAGTAGAAGAGCCGCAGGGGTTTCGGAGGCTGTCAGATGTCACGGAGGCCCACGGCTTCATGTTCTCCATCGGAGTGGGAGGCAGGTTCGAATCGCCAAGCTTGCGGTCAGCGGCCCAATGGTTGACCCACTGCACCTACAGAGCGTTTCTGTGCCAGCTCGTCTTCGTTTACAAACATCAACGGAGTCAGCACACCCCTCCAGTGAGGCTGACGCTACGATCATCCCAGTTCTGTAAGTCAGAAAACGGAAGCCACTACACCTCTCTCTCTCTCCAGGTCACACGAGGCTGAGACAGGAAGCCGGGAGGTCTGCCTTTGGAGTTCATGCTTAACCAGTGGGCGGCACTGCCTGTCCCAGGGACAGCGGCCATCACTGCTCTCGGTTCCAAACGGACATTTCACTGCCTACTCTTTCCGCCAGAGTCCAAATTCCAAAATAAGCGGTGGACTCTTTAAATCAGAAGACCCAAAACAACAAACATATTGTTTAGAACGAGGGGGGTTGGAGCAGAGACGCAAAGCCCATCTGTAGACAATGGGACATCCCCTCACAGAAGGGTCACGAGGAAGGGATGAGTCAACCAGGGTACAGGATAGCACTAATGAAACACACAATATTCCTGTTTCTTTAAGGCTTACCTCCCACTTTCTTGACCCCAGTCCTGCCTTTTACTTCAGGCTAGGCCGGAGCATGTACACTGGTACAGGTAAGAGCTCATGACAAATGGAATCCAGGTCAGATAAACCCTCAGGAACAGAAAAGGGAATAGCGATACCAGGACAATGGGCGAAAGGTGGGAAGAGGATGGGGAAAGAAACCATAGGGGAAAGGAGACAGCTGTAAGAGATGTCACAGCAAGGCTGTAACAGCACAGGTGGCACCCAGCGTCTGCCCTGCATGGGGTTTCTCCAAAGGCACCCAAAGGCGATTTCCAGTGCCTGGACCCTGCAGTGCCTGGTGCTCAGCAGCACAGCTTCCCGACCACCCTCACAAATGAGCGCACCTCCCATGAGACCCATTACCGTGGACGCTCCACATCCCGGTGGCCAGCTTCTCTGAACACCAGCAAGTACACATGCCCGGCAGGTTCCGGGGGCAGATTTTTAGCAGACCCGGCCTCTGCCATCCAGAGGCCCTGTGTGGTGGCTTCAGAGGTCAGGACCTCCACTGAGGGTGGGCATGGGGGGGGCGCAGCGGGAGGAGGCTGTTTCTTCCTTGGTGCTATCTCAGCCCTGGAGGTGGCAGCACGATTCCTAAATTCTTCAGAGTCCTCTTGACATCTCCCTACTGCTCCGGAGGGTCTTACTGTTGACGATTCTTTATGACTCTTCGTCTTCAGAGGGCTGTGTGGTTTCTGTCTTCTGACAGGGCCCCGACACGCGCATCCAGGAAAAGGCCCTGTCGGCGATCAGGACAGGCAGTCCCAGATGTGAACTTCGGCAGCAGCTAGAAGGAAGGCGGCCTGGGTTGCAGGTGTCTCTTCCCGCAGCCTTATCCTGTCACTTGCTGTGAACAAGGGGAAGGCTTCCAGAGCAGATGGCTTGCCACCCAACAAGCCACACACATTTTTTACGCAGCTCCTCCCCTGCCATTCCTCAGGGAACCTTCTCTTTCCTAGTTCCTCCGTTTGCTGTTTTCCATTCTCTCTTCGGTCCTAACCCTTCCCCACGGCCCTTGGTATGTGCTGCCTGTTTGATCTCAAGTGGCTGATTCTGCTAACGTGTGTGTACCTCACCAGCATGCTTGCTCCCCTTAGAGACCTCAGTTTAGGGATGAGCTCAGCTCCAGATCTGAAGGGTGGCTATAAGCTCTGGGCTTGGCACCCCCACCAGTCTCTATCCAATCAAAGATGGAGATTTTGCGTTTTGTTCCACATGTCTTCTCCCACCTTACACGGGACCTTCTAATGTATCTCTTGGAGAGCGGTGAGTGGGTTTTGGCAACAGGCACCATCCAGATCTTGTGGTCCTGGGATCACAGAGACGATGTCCACGTGATCCTTGGGTCCACTGGCCTAAATGCTCCTCTCGAATTTCCATCGCTCCGCTGTCCTCCGGACAGGAAGAGACCGCTAGTTGCTCTTCCGATGGCTGCTCCTGAGCATTAGCCGCTATTCGTCAAAGAGGCTGTACAACATGCCTTTATGGGCTATGCTCCGCCAATTGATCCTAGTGTCCCCTGAGACCACAGTCCTGACCCCCAAGGCCCAGTGACTCATCCCCTCAGGGCATTTGGTTGTGTCCAAGAAGCTGGCGTAACTTTGGCCCCTGTCTGCTCCACCGCATTCATGGATATATTTGCAGCAAAAGAACAAACATTCATGCACAAATATCCTCCATCAAACCGATATACATCCATAGCCTCATGCTTCATTCACTCCCCTTCAGCCTGCATGCCAACCCGTGCATCTACTCAGAGATCACTATTGAGGGATTGTGCACTTTTCCTCCGGTGATTTTAATGCTTGCATGGTCCCAGTGCCTCCCACAACCTCCATCGGCTTTTGCTGACCTCCCTCTTAACGGGTATGGCCCTCTCCTTCACCCAAGTCAATGCGTGTCTACCTCTCTTCCCCTCCCAGCCCTGATAACCCCCACAGAATGTTTCTTAGGGGGAAAACCTTTTATTGTTACCATAGTGATCTCATACAGTACTGGTCCTTTGTGAGTGACTGATTTCACTCAGCGCAATGTCTGGCCTCCAGGTTCATCACGGTCCTGAAGTGTCTGAGTCATCGTGACTCTTTAACGTTGCCTTGGATTCATAGGTTACTAGATATGTCCCAGGTAATACGATTCTGGGAAAGGAGGTCCCTGGCTGCTTTTGCAAGGCAGAGAGAGGATGGAGAAGGAGGTGGTTGCAAGGCCAGGTTGACAGGACACACTGGTCATTTCATTTTAGGCTATGCAAGGCTGGTACTTCCCAAGGTGGTCCTATTCAGGAAACATCTCCAGTGTGTAGTGGTTATGTATTGGGCTGCAATCCATATGGTCTGCAGTTCAAAACCAGCAGCAGCTTTATGGGAGAAAGAGTGGACTTTCTACTCCTATAAACTGTTACAGTGTTGGGATCCCACAGCGGGTCTCTGAGTCAGCAGCGAGTTTCAGGTTTTTGTGTTAATGAGCCGGAATGTCAACAAAAACACAGATGGCCCACCCGCTGCAGACAAGACAGAGGAAGAGAGAACAAAATAGCAACCGTGTATTGAGCTTTTCTTATGTTGCAAGCATCTTACATCCACCACCACTTTTTTAAGCCTCGAGACAGAGGCCTTCCAAGACGGGACTCTTAGCCCCATTCAGTGGTTGAAGAGCTTAGAGTAAGGTGACCAGACGTCCCGCTTTTGGCGGGACAGACCCGATTTTTAACAATTTTTCCCACATCCCACGGTGTTTTAAAAAAGTCTTGATTCTTGGAAAGAATGCACAACAAGCTAGGGTACACAGTTTTTGGCTACCATGTGGCTATTTCGCCAGGATATGAGTTTTATCCATGGTATCCAACTTTACCAATGTTAAAATCTGGTCACCTTAGCTTAGAGCCAAGTCCTTCTCCAACATCCTGCTGCTCCTCGGGGACAGAGCCCAGCACCCCGACGTGGGCCACGCCTTCACGGCCACTTCCTGCTACTTCACCATCTCGAGAGAGTCGGTGGGTGAGGTAAGTCTGCAGGATTCTGTGATGGTGGACGAGTGCATTGTGCATTTGACAAAATCCCCGGGGCTGCCCAACGTGCTTGGGTGCCCTCTGATGTAAACCATGGGCTCAGGTTACTCACAGCGTACCTGTATCGGTTCGACTGCTACAACTACGGTAACCACGGGACGGGAAGGCAGGATGTCATGGGCAGTGGGGTGAGAACCGTGTACTTGGCCTATCAAACAGAAACAGCTCTGAAAATCAAAATCTTTAAACCCGTACTGAGCACTTCCTAAATGATAATTCTATCTGCCCTCCGAGAGGAGGTCACCCAGGGGGTTGACACAGGAAGGAAGGAAGCACAGCTGCCTGTCAGGTGTCCTGGGGGCCCGCCGGCCAGGTGTATCCAGCGGAGCCTGGGAGGAAAGGCAGGCTGTGGCCTGCCTAGGTGGTGGCTGGTGGCTGGCTAGTTGGTGTTGACTCATAGGGACCCCATGCGATGAGGAAGATTGGCCCCTGCAGTTTTCCATAGTGCTGATCTTCAAGTCTGTCTCCTAAGGAGCCTCTGGGTGGGTCTGAACCACTAACCTTTTGGTTAGCAGCCTAACCCAGTGCTTAACTTAAGGCTGAATCTCCAGGGCTCCTAAGGGCTCTTTGAGTAGACTTTAAAACTGAAAAGCTGCTCTTGTCATTTTGCAAACACATTTTTATTCCGCTTATTCTACATGGGGGGAGGGGGAGCGGATGTTAAGTAGATGACAAATAGAGGCTTAGTGTGATCTGGTTCACAGGCACCATTTGCTCTGTGCCAGATCAGAAAGACCCTAGTGGCTGCCAGGAATAAACTCTTGGTGATTAAAATCGCCCGGCATATAGGCTGAAGATACATCCAGACCACGGCCACATCCCGGGCGGGGCTGGCCCAGCACAGGACGGTGAACAGTCAGGCCCCTCCTTGACAGAGCATGTCACCTTGTCCTACCTCTCATGATCCCCAGACTGATTTTTGTAAAGAGGAAAATGGATGCTCAGAGGGGTTGGGTGACCTGGCCACAGCCACACAGCTAGGAAGCTGCTGACCTAAAACTAACATCCCTGGTTTCTAGAGAGCTAAGCTGCAGCAACCCCCGAGGGTGTGCTTTTGAACAAAGACAAGATCGCCAGGACAGCAGGATTACCCTTTACTGGGCATCCCTGTTCATGGCCACCTGCCATTGGGTTCTGTCTTTCCTCCATCTCTGGCAAATATGTGTGTCAGCGGACCCCAGCAGAGGTGTCCTTGTTTCTGATGGGAAAGAAAACCCTACAATGGAGGAAAGCCTGAGAATTTCCTTTCTTCCGATTGGGGAGAAATATCATTTTAGAGGCCCGAGGCCATGCCTTAAATGGAAGACCCCTGCTGAGCCTCAGTTTCCCCCTTCTGAACAGAGGGGTTGGAGATGACATCATCATCGGAGAGTGGACTTCAGACGGCTACGCTCCCTCCAGTGGCCATCAGTCTGTCTCCTGTACCCTCTGTGCATCGAGAGGGCTGGGAGACCAGCCCTTTCATCCGCATCCAGGGCTCTAAGAAGCTCAAAAGGCAGCTTGAAGGGGGACCGGTTGGCGGCCATCCACTTCTGAAAAGGCCAGGAGCCAGCAGGTGTGGAGAGGCCCTGTCAAGGCTGGGACTTGGACGTGAGCAGGATGATGACAGCATTCACTGACACTGTTTGGGTATCCCCCATGCTGTCTCCTCTGTCTTCAAACGAAAGCAGCTCTCGGGTCAGTCGGGATCAGTCCTCTCCGGATAGTCCTGCTAACCCCTGGGTCACCTGGCCAGGAACGGGCAGCACCCTGGGCCCAGGATGTGGGCCTCTATGAGTTGGCAGGGGCATGGAGTCCTCTCAGAGTCCGTGTGCCGAGTCCCTGCTGCCTGGGGGAGCTGGTGGGTGACCAGGAGCCGGATATAGTAGCCGCCAAACACCGCCAACAGCTGCCGGGCCATTTCCTAGAAGGAGCAGAGACGCGTGATGGTCACAGGGAGGCACCGTGAGGGGAGGGGCGTAAATACACACGAGAAACCACCACCTCCCCCAGCTGTCGTCACCCCTCGGGCCCAGCAGTGAGGTTCACTGGGAAGAAACACAACAGCACCTGGGGCACCTGGAAGACTCTTGGACGGGGGTCCGGGGTCCCGGCTCTGGATCCCTCTCACTGTGACAGCCCAGGGTCCCATCCCAGACGTGTGACCCCACTGTCGGCAGAGGAGCGGAAAGTGCCCCGAGAGCCCTGGCACCACAAAGCACTAGGGCAGTGGTTCTCAACCTTCCTCATGCCGTGACCCTTTCATACAGTTCCTCAGGTTGTGGTGACCCCAACCATAAAATTATTTTTGTTGCTACTTCATCACTTTCATTTTGCTACTGTTATGAATCATCATGTAAATATCTGATATGGAGGATGTCTTTACATTGTTACAAATTGAACATAACTAAAGCGTAGTGATTTATCACAAAAACAATATGTAATTATATATTGTAAAATATTTCTAATGACAAATAAATGAAATTTTGTCTTGAAGCATGGTGTAGCATGGGAAACAGTCTTAATATAACAACAGTAAACTGTATTGCTATGTTCTGTGACAGTTTGCGTAAAAAGCCAACGTCAGTGCAAAGGTTGAGATAGCTTCTTTCTCACCAGATCAGAAATTCTCGGGGCAGTCTTTGCAAGAGCACAATAAAGATCATCTTCGACAATATTTACCCAGTAATTCTAATTCATGAAGTCTCATTTTACCTCCACTACTGCTGCTTTCAACACAGCAGCTGCTCTTTAACAGAGTGGCTTCTTTCTACACAGTAGCTGCTCTCTACACGTGTGACTGATCCGCATAAGTACATTATGGCGCCAACCCTGTCATACACCTGTGTTTGTACAGGGTGTATGTGATGGGGTTGGCACGCCGATGTCACCACACCGGGTTCTCGTATGTGGGCATATCTGCATGTGGGCAGACCACCTGGAGACAGATAAAGGAGTGATGTCTCGGTTCCTAAGACCGTCAGAAATAAGTGTTTTCCACTCGTAAAGGACAACAAACAGACCTTGAACTATTTATAGGTTTGCTGTTGTTGTTGTTGTTGCCTTTTGTTGTTGTTGTTGTTGTTGTTATAGCAATTGTTTTATTTTCTATTGTTGCTTCGTTGTGCTCAGTCTTGTGTCTGTGCATATTGTTGTCGCTGCATGTCTATCTGGGTGGGATAGGAGGGATAAACAAGCTGGAAAAGAAAACAATGGTATGACAGTTCCGGGGGGACATGGGAGAGGGGGAGGTGTGGGAAAGGAAGTGGTGTTAACAAACCCAGGGACAAGGGAACAACAAGTGACTGAAAATTAATGGCTAGGAGGGTGTAGGAGGTCTGGCAGGGCTGGATCAAGGACAACGTAACCGAGAGGAATTACTGAAACCCAAATGAAGGTTGAACATGATAGTGGGGCAGAAGCAAGGTAAAAAGAAATAGAGAAGAGAACTAGGAGGCAAAGGGCATTTATAGAGATCTAAATACAGGCTATACATATGTAAATATATTTACATATGATGAGGGAGAAATAGATCTATGTACATATATTTATAGGTTTAGTATTAAGGAAGCAGATGGACATTGGGCCCCTACTCAAGTACTCCCTCAACATAAGAACACTTTGTTCTAATAATCTGGCACTCTGAGATGCTCACCTTCCCGATATAATCGCTGAAGACAAAGCGGGTGCATAAGCAAATGTGGTGAAGAAAGCTGATGGTGCCCAGCTATCAAAAGATATACCATCTGAGGTCTTAAAGGCTTGAAGATAAACAAGCGGTCATCTCGCTGAGAACAACAAAGCCCACATGGAAGAAGCACACCAGCCTGTGTGATCACGAGGCATCAATGGGATCAGGTATCAGGCTTCAAAGAACAAAAAATCATATCACTGTGAATGAGGAGGTGGGCAGAGTGGGGACCCAAAGCCCATCTGTAGGCAACTGGACATCCCCTTACAGAAGGGTCATGGGGAGGAGATGAGCCAGTCAGGGTTCAGGTAGCAATGATGAAACATACAACTTTCCTCTAGTTCTTTATTACTTTCTCCCCACCACTATCATGATCCCAATTCTACCTTACAAATCCGGCTGGACCGGAGGATGTACACTGGCACAGATAGGAACTGGAGACACAGGGAATCCAGGACAGATGAACCCCTCAGGATGAGTGGTGAGAATGGCAATACTGGGAGGGTGGAGGGAAGGTGAGGGAGAAAGGGGGAACAGATTTTAAGGATCTACATATGGCCTCCTCCCTGGAGGATGGACGGCGGAGAAGTGGGCAAGGGGAGATGTCAGTGTAAGATATGACAAAATAATAATAATGTATAAATTATCAAGGGTTCATGGGGGAGGGGGGAACAGGGAGGGAGGGAGGAAATGAGGAGCTGATACCAAGGGCTCAAGTAAAAGCAAATGTTTTGAGAATGATGAGGGCAACAAATGTACAAATGTGATTGACACAATGGATATATGGATGGATTGTGGTAAGAGCCGTACATGCCCCCAATAAAATGATTCAATTTAAAAAGAAGAAATACGTGTTTTCCAATGGTTTAGGTGACCCTTGTGAAAGGGTCGTTCGACCCCCAAAGAGGTCTCGACCCACAGGTTGAGAACCGCTGCTCTAGGGAAATGAATCTTCTAGTCCTCCCTGGTCAGCTGGAGACCATGCTTGCTCCAGCCCCAGCGGTCTGCTGCTGTGAGTGGCTGTTGGGCAGTCGGACCCATGGCGACCACACGTCCCCCAGAGCCAGACTCTATCTGGACTGGCGCCATCCACACAACCTCTGGAACGATTGAGCCCACTGCCACAGCCATCAAGTCAGCCCACCCACGAAGGGTCCCCTCATCCTCCTGGACCCCCTACTTCAGCAAACTGGGAAGAGGTCTACGGTGTCTGTGCATAACTCACTGAAGATCACTGAATGAAGCCAGGGGAAGATGGGATGAGCTCGTGTCCCCGTGGCAGCCCCTCGATGGTGCACCCAAGGTCCCCGCCAGGTTTCCTGGGGCAGTCAGCGCTCCTCAATGTGCTCACAGGGTCTGCTCACAAAAACGGCGTGCTCTCAACGCACGCTTGGCCCCCAAAGCAAAGCTCGCTGGTCAAGCCGCTGAAATCACAGGCAGGACTCAGACACTGCAGGTTCAGCAGTGCCCGTCCACGGCAATAAAGCGGGTCATCACCAAGAAGTGAGGCCCATACATGTTCTGGCTTCCCAATGTATGTGACATTCTGTTGATACTGGACTGTAGTCTACTGAGTGTGCAGCAGCATTGTGAAGAAGTCTGAAGTCGTGCAAGAATCACCAACATGTGACAGAGAGACACAAAGGGAGCACGTGTAGTTGGGAAAATGTCACGGAGAGACAAAGCCTCATTTTATTGAAACCAAAAACATGACTCTCTACAGTGGGCAATGACATGGAGTCTGTCCGTACAGGGAAGGGCATCAATTCCTGAAGGGGGGACTGCCGGGCTTTCCCAAGTACCGATCTCAACTGAAAAAACAGGAGGTGAGTTATGTCAAGGCTACTTATGGCTGTAGACTTAGGGATTAAGACTCAGCTTTAACACCAGCCTTTGTGATCATGAGGTGTCAATGGGATCAGGTATCAGGCATCAAAGACCCAAAACAAAAACTCATATCGATGTGAATAAGGGGGAGTGCAGAGTGGAGACCCAAAGCCCATCTGTAGATAATTGGACATCCCCTTACAGAAGTTTCACAAGGAAGAGAGGAGTTAGTCGGGGTGCAGTATAGCACCGATGAAACATACAACTTTCCTCTAGTTCTTAAATGCTTCCTCCCCCCCACTAACATGACCCCAAGTCTACCTTACAAATCCGGCTAGACCAGAGCATGTACCCTGTACAGATAAGAGCTGGAAACACAGGGAATCAAGGATAGATAAACCCCTCAGGACCAACAATGAGAGTAGCGAAACCAGGAGGGGAAGGGGAAGGTGGGGGGCAGAAAGGAGGAACCAATCACAATGATCTACATATAACCCCCTCCCAGGGGGATGGACAACAGGAAAGTGGGTGAAGCGAGACATCAGTCAGTGTAAGATATGATAAAAAAATAATAATTTATAAATTATCAAGGGTTCATGAGGGAAATAAGGAGCTGATACCAAGCGCTCAAGTAGAAAGAAAATGTTTTGAAAATGATGATGGCAACATATGTACAAATGTGCTTGACATGATGTATGTATGGAAGGATTGTGATAAGAGCTGTGAGAACCCCCAATAAGATAATTTTTTTTAAAAAGACTCAGTTTTAGCAAAAAGGCCGGATGGGAATTTCAACACGAGGAATTCCAGGCCCTTGCCACTGAAAGAGAAAAGGTAATAGCGTCTACCTCGCTGCCCGAGAAGGGGGATGAGTGGAGACAGTGTGTCTCGTGTGTAAGAAATGCATTCGGGAATAATCTCAGCAGCAGCAGCACTGTTATGAGTCAAAAGAGCAGAAACACTACTTGACCCTCCAGGACCGGCCTTTCGTGTGAACTGTCCCCTGTGCTAGAAAGCATTAAGTTTCAAACATGCTGCCCACCAGTAACTCAGATTCATTTTCTTGCCAATTTACTCAAAAATCCATAATGTAAGAAGCAAGGAACTGTGGCCAGAAAATGACCTACTTAAAATCAACATGCCTGCCTTCCGCCCTTGGCTTGGCCACAATCTCCCTTTGTCCTTGACCTTGGGCAAGTCAGCTGGCCTCTCAGAACCTTATTTTTCCCCTCAGGGAAGCAGGGAAAATAATCCACATCTCAGAAGATATGCTAAAGAGTTCTCAGAATGATGAAAATCTGTAACAATGTCAGAGGCTATTACAGCGATTACTCTGCCTTTCGTGCTGAGCCCCTGCCACGGGTTTCATTTATTCCTGGCCAAATTAGGAGGGCAGCTACTTTAAAAACATGTGCACACACACTGAGACTTGATATTCATGACAGGAAATTGCGTTACTCTGGGTCGGAATAAATTTGAAAAATGATTTCAAAAGACCTGTCTTTAATGGGCGCTTTCACATAAACCTAGACACGCACGTCATAATCAAAGACGTGACCTTATCCATCTCTTCTGCTCTTTGAAAACAACACGTCTGTGGGATTCAAATGAAGAGCTTAATAAATGTATCGTGTCCTCATTTACACAGTCCTATCTGCAAGTCTCCCACTCCCCACCAGTGCAAAATAGACACACTGGCCTGGCTTGAATCCTGAGACCCCAAACCACTGTGTTGAGAAGAAAATACAAGCCTTCCAGACCTGGGGCATCTCCTGACCATGGGCCTGCCTGTCCCCAGAGCAAGACAGAGGCCATACAAGTTGTAAAGCACCTTATCAGATTTCTGGTCTGTCAGCCCTTGGCCAACAGCTTCCATGGATAGCAAGACTCAGCACCCCTCTGGGGCCGGAGGAACTAAAATTCAACCCCGAGATGCACAGAGCGTTCAAACAGGCACACATGGATGATGGGATGAGCGGCTGGAAGGGTAGACGAATAGATGGGCAAACGGGTACAGAGATGTGTCCATGGGTGCGTAGGGACAGCCAACGACCTGCCGAGCAACTGCCCCCAAAATAGGATCTCTGTGACTTTTTAAATGGAGGGGGTAAACAGCAAATACAAAATTATTCCTATGAAGCCAAGGTAAGGAGGGGGGAAGGGGTGTGTGCCAAGATGGGACACTATCGTGTTCGAAGGTCTGTAGTCTTTACCAACTCGAGGAAAGCCTGGTTACAAGAATCTGGAGCTGGGGCTCCCACAGGAGAAGATGGTCCTGATGGGCCATGGCACCCATTACCTCTGGCTCGGCCTCGGGAACCAGCTGACGGAGTTCAGTCTGCATGAGCGGCCTCTCGGAGGGACATGGGCTACTGGGCAGGAGAGGGGCTTCCTCTACCATGTCCTCGGGCCCCTCCGCTGTGCTGGGGCTCACCCCGGTCTCCATGACAACGCACAACTGGTTCAACCTGCTTCTCAGCAAGGACTGCAAAGGAAACAAGAAAGGCCTTGGGTTGGGTCCTACGCTGGGTGCCATCTCGCAGCAAGGGACGAACCCATCTACGGACTCAGGGTGACACGGGAGAGCATCCCAGGCTGACCCGAGGTGGTGAGATCAGGCAAGTGCCCACACCAGTACCATCCTTCGCCGGTTCTAAAGCTCGGCCCCTGGCATGGTTTCGTTTGTTGCAGAACAGCCTGGGGTGTGGATATTCCTATCCACCTGCTGCCGATGAACAAACAGGGGTTCAGAGACCTTGCCCAGGGGGCTATGCAGCAACTAATGGGCCCGAACCAGGGCAAACCATCTTCCTGGCTACAAAGCCCACCTGCAGCGCTTACAGGACCCGGGGAAAGGTGGAGCCCAGGACTCAGAGTCAGGAGGCTTGGAATCCAGACCAGCTCTGTGGCCCCAGGGCTTCCCAGGGCCTCCAAGCCCCCCTCTGTGAAATGCGGGCAAGGGTGCCCGTGTGCTCAGCAGACTTCCTGCATTCAGGGTAGGAAGGCTCTCAGAGCCAGTGAAAATGGTCTCAATCTGCGATGCTGTCCCCTGCCCGGTCTTCACAATGACTACTGATGGTAAGGGCAGGCTTGTCTGTGCTCACGACAGGAAACATAGAGGAGGTCTTCAGTAAAAAAAGGAAGAGGAAGACCCTTCCCCACCCCACCCCACCCCCACCCCGTGGCATTCTACACGGCATTCTTCCTCCCGAGTAACCTTGTCTTCAGTCCTTCCCAACGTGGCGAGAACATGATTTTATACCTTGGGCCTCCTGTGTTTCGGAATCGAGGATTGTGCTTGGTCTTCTCCTAAGGCATCTTACCTCCTGGTGAGTCTTCATCTCTTGCACGTGGTCCGTCAGGAACTGCACACAGTTCTCCAAGTCGAAGTAGACAAACCAGAGCTGGGGGTAGGGAGAGAGGTCGGGACGTCGAGGCTCGGAGCCAGCCCTGACCCCGAGGTTTCTCCCTGAGGACCACCCACACTTGCTTTCCTTGTAAAACTTAGATCGAATGCACGCTCTGATGACACACCTGGCCCCTAAAATTCACCGTGAGAGCTGGTGGAAATCCAGGGATGTGCACAAACACCCGCCTCCCTTTCTGAGGGACCCCCCCTTTTATCTTGCTCTCTAGCAGGCCCATCTCTATAAGTCAGTACGCCTCCCAAACCCTTCCCGGACACTGTGTATCCATATCTGGATTATCCCCTTAGTTGTCAGTGGCCGGATGCCTTCGGTCAGAAACTCAAACATGCAGATGAGTGAAACCCCGCGCCACTTTCTCCCTTGCTGCCCAAGGTCGGGTTAGAGGTCATAGGCGTGGATGTCCTCATCCCATCCCCTGCTTCCACCGCAATTTCAGCGGGTGCCAGGAGGCTGGGTCAACCACAACCAAAATAAAATCATCCACACTTGTGCATTGCAACATCTTCTCGTGACCCCACAGACCACAAACATGATGAAGCGCTGAAGCAAACACCTCTGTCCACTAGCCACCCCCAGACCCCACTTTCCTCCCGACCCCACCCCCCAGGATTGAGCCAATGGGACTCAAGGTCAACCAGTGTCTCTCACACCATCTTTATTTCCAAGAGCCTTTCTTTTTTGAGTCTATTTTTTTAATGCTTCTTTTCTTAATGCATTGTTATACATTCTTTCCAAACGTCGCCGGAAATAGCATGATTCAAGTAATTAACGCCGAGCCCCTTGTCACTCTGCTTCTACAGCTGTTGCTTCATGGGTACCACTCCTGTTTCATCTCCACCCACCCTGACGGCTCAGCCCCAGCCACCCCTTCCAAGGTTCAGGGGCAAATCCAAACAGTGTGTCACTTCAGCCCCAGACAGAGTTATGAAACCGAAGCAACCGAATATTTTAAAAGATGGGCCACTCACGCCACCCTCCGCCCTTCCATGCTTTCGATGGACACCAGCCAAGCCACTCTTACGCCTATCGATATACAGAGTTCAAAGCAGAGCAGGCTGGAAAGGACCCCCGTCACCATGTCAGTGACCCCTAAGAGAGAGGGGCTCCCAGCCTGCAGTGTTACACTCGAACGGCTGGAAATCTTGTGACACCTTTCAGATCCCTTGCTGGTGCCAAGCAAGAGGGCCCTGTGTCCTACCGATCTCGGTGCAAGAAGCTCTGTAAGTACAAGGATCTCTCTGCTACAGCCTCTGAGTCTTGGGTGCTGCCTACCCTACTGCAGGCTCTCCATAGATATGTGTGGAATGGGCGACCACGTCCATGAAGAGCTTCTTCCCAACCCAACCTGCACGCCCCGCCCTGGCCACCCTCTGGGTGTGGACAATGACCAGCGACAGTGCAGATGTGGTACGGGTTGACTGTGTAGCACACTGGGCAGAACACAGCCAGGATCAGAAGACCTGGAGCTCATGTAGACCCACTAGTGTCCTAGACCACTGTGTGGCCTTGCCCCGGGCACTTAAGATCTCCTCACTGCCTTCCGGGCAAAGCAAAGCACCTGGCCAAAAGGAATGGGCCTGTGGAGCGTGACCTGCCTCTTCAGCCTCACTGCCACTCCCTGTGTCACCCAGACTTCCAGCCACTGTTACCTCTGCGCAGTTCCTCAAGAGCATCCTTCGCTGGCCTTCTCCCAGGCTGGAAGGCCACAGAGGTTACTGCTAGTGCCCACAACTGACCCCCTCAGAAGCCAGTGAGCTCCTACAGGACAGGGGCCATGCCATGGGTCCCATAGTATCCTCCATCCCCAAGGGAAGGATCACAGTGCTCAGAAGACACTGGGCACCAGGGAAGGAGGATGTCTACCTGGGATGGTTAAACAACATGGTGAGCACAAGCCAATGTGAATTTCATGCAGGATGACTGTTGAAATGTTGATTGCCCGCTACAGACACGATGTATTCCCCGCATTTCACACACACACACACACACACACACACACACACACACACACACACGGAGGGCTCGACCCAGAGGCAGCCAGGATCAAGATACCATCTGCTTGTTGAACCTACATTGAAGGCGTGTGGCTCGGACCGTAGCTGAGCTTCCCCTCCAGCCCTGCCACAGGAGGTGTGACACGGCTGGTTACCCACAGAAAGGAGTGTCGGAGAAGAAAGGCTGGGGCAGGAGGAACAGGAGGGGCTGCTGTGCACTTGGCCTCTGGGAGAACATGGGGCCGTCCGTCCCCATTAGCCCAGCTCGGGAGGAGGCCTGCAAGGCAGGTCCCTCTGAGCCACAGTACCTGGATCACGCTCTGGCAGCCTTCCACCGTGTCCGTGACCCCCAGCAGCACCCGGTGTCGCAGGAGGGCTCCGTTGGCAGCAGCCAGCCTCAGGTCAGTGTTGGTGTTGGCCTGTAAGGAAACAGCACACGCTCAGCCCCATGGCCCCACCGCCATGCTACCTGCTGCAGGCGGACTACCGACAGCAGGAAGATATGGGGGTGGGGTGGGGGACTCACCGTCCTGGAGGGCAAGGGATCCAGGGTGAAATAGGCCTGGAGCTGAGACACCCCCAAGAGCCAAGAGGGGCTGTGTGGCCCCAGACTTGCCACTTCATTTCTCTGAGCCTTACTGTCTCCCCCACTGGCAGAATGGTCCGAAACACGCAGGGCCGTGGAGTCATGCCAACTCCCATGGACCCCCAGGACAAAGAGGTGCCCCGAAGGCTTCAGGGGACATAATCTTCACGGAAGCAGCCTGCTTCCTCTTTCTCCCATGGAACGGCTGGTGGGTTCAAACAGACAACCTTTAGGCTCGCAGCCCAAATGCTTAGCCCACTGGGACACGGGGGTCCTTGAGTCGCCAGTAGTAACAATGAACATTTCCTGAGCCGATTATACCACCCATCATCGGAGGCACTACGCATGTCCCAAGTCACTTCATTCTCACACTGCCCCCCAGAGAGCACTACGGCTACTCTCCGCTACTCTCCCATTTCACAGATGAGCCAGTCTAAGCTACAACTCACCCATGGGGCAGTGTTGGCCATGGTTACGCTATCCTGTCCCTATAAAGTGGCTGTGGGCAGAGGGATCAGGCCCCAGGCAGTAGCTGCTCACTAAGCGGTGGTCCTGACAGGGAAGGCAAGGCACCTTGAAGGAAGGAGCCGCAGTGAGAAGCACTTGGGGTCTCCAGTCTGCATCTAAGAGTAGGCACGGGGTCTTGTTCCCCTCTGGGTCCCTGGGCGGCCTAGCCTCTTGGCTACCAACCGAATGGAGGATGGAAGGCAGAGGGGGCCGGCAGACTCAGCCGGCTTCCCAGGCAGGACCTGCACTAACTACAACCGCAGCCAGGAAGCACCTGCTCTTCCACTCCCGCTGCTGAAGCAGGCCACGCTGCTTTGCCCCCTCCCCAGAGGAGTTCCGTGCTGGCTCAAAGCAGTCTTTATAGGTCAAGATCAAGGGTCATCAAAGCCGCACCAGATTTTATTAGCCCAGGGGCTAAGCCTGACAAAGATCCATTCAGAATGATTAAGTTCCCACTTGTCCCTGTGAACACAGGCCAGAACTGGCCTTCGCACCGCCCGCTCCCCGCTCGGGCATCACGCCTTTCTTTTGGCGTGTCCGTCAGATGCTGTCCTTGTGTTCTGGAAGGTGTTGATTCAGTTTGGACTCTCAGGGACCCTCTTGTGTGCAGAGAACGACTCTGTAGGGCTGGGGAGGCTGTGCCCTGACAGAAACAGGGCAGCAGCCGCGTCTCCACAGTGTCTCTGGTTGTCCACCAACCTTTCCCCATCGTCCAGCACTGAGCCACTTGAGGGAGCAAGGCACCCCTGGGTGTTTGCTGCCTGATCTTTAAGTCCAGCACTTTGCCAGATACTGGGGGGGTGGAGGGGGCAGAGGTGGGAAAGGTGCTCCGTGAACAGCTAGGAAGCTAGTGTACATGTTGGATTATATCCCCAACCATACAGGCTTTTACATCTGAGGCTGTCTGCTTCTGTGAAGATTCCAGCCCTGGAAACACACCGGGTGGTTCTACTCTGTCCTATAGGGCGGCTGGGAGGTTAGAAGGCTAGAAGTCCAAGTTCAGGACAGCAGCAGTGTTGAGAAGGCTCCTCCATCTGCTCTCCTCAGAGGTTCCTCTCAGAGAAGCCCTGGGGACGCAGTAGGTAATGCCTTGGGTTGCTAACCGCAGGGTCAGAAGTTTGAAACCACCAGCTGCTCCTTAGGAGAAACATAAAGCTTTCTACTCCGGTAAAGATTTACAGCCTCGAAAACCCACAGGGGCAGTTCTGGGCTGTCCTATAGTCTCTGTGAGTCAGAACTGACTCACTGGCAGTGCGTTTGGTTTTCTGGTTTATAATACGGGTGGTTGTTGTCCCGGTTTGGGATGGGGTGGTTGAGTCACGTTAATGAGACAGGATTATTGCAGGTGTGTTTTGAGATGTAAAAGGGATGAAACAAATGAGTAGAGGGATGAGGGGTAAGATATACGCCAAGACCCATGGAGCTCTCCCCTAGGAACCTGGAGGGAGGAGCAGAAGACCAGCACCCTGGGTCCCACTGTGAGCTTGTTCAAACCACCCAGGTGAGCTATTTCTTGGAGACCAGGAGGTGGTGGTGGAGGTGGTGTGGTTCACAGAATGCCATCCCCTACCCCCAAGACACCCAAGTCCTCATTCCCAGACCCGGGACTGTGTCTGCTGCATGAGAGAACAAGGGAGGTGGCTGGCCTTAGAGGAATTACCTGGGTGATCTCGCAGGAGCCCACTGTAAACACAAGGGACCGTCAGGGTGGGAAAGGGAGGCTGAAGGGTGAGAGGGAAGGAGATGAGGGCAGGACTTGTCCCACCCATGGCGGACGGGGGCCCAAAGCAAAGGAATGCAGGTGGGCTTAGACGCTGGAAAAGGCAAGAAAATGGATCCCTCCCCAGTGGCTCCTGAAAGAGACCTGGTTCTGTTCACAACCTGATTTCAGCCAAGGAGACCCGTGTCAGCCTCCTAACTAGCAGGACTGCTGGATAATGAATCCTTGCAGTGTTAAGTCATTACGTTTATGCTAACATGTTACAGCGCCCAAGGAAACTAATCGAGTGGGCTGTTAGCTACATTACTTTGTTTGGGCAACTCCTTGAGTCTGTGTGTCCTGGTCCTTAAAATGAGAGTAACAACCCCTCCCCACCCCTACCCCACCCCCCGAGGGATTTAGGGAGGTAATGTATGCAGGGCATTTCACACCGGCCCAGAAGGAACCTCCCAACAGGCTAGGAGGCTATCGCTCTCCTTTCTGAATGCCACTGGGAATCAGAGAGCTCAGGCTTTGACCCAGCTCTGCCCCTCCCGCTGGGACCCAGGACAAGCAGCCCGTACCCTCTTACCACCTTCTCCCGGCCTAAAAGGTGGTTGTTGGGGTTAAGGGAGGGGTGGCTGCCCCAGCACTACCCTCAGGTGCCCTGTGAAATAGCTTCAGCAGTCCTCCTGCCCCTGCCCAGGAGTGCAGTCCCTGCCACTGAGGGGGAACAGGGAGGGGGTTGTCCTTAAAAGTGCCAGAGGAGAGCTATCCGTACTCCCCTTCCTCCTCCCAGATTGTCTTTCAAAGCACAGCCAGCTTCCAGAAAATACAATCCCAGGGATCCGACAGAAAGACAATGAGGGTTAATCATGGGCGCATGCAATCCGATTTCTCCTATCACCGGGAGGATATGAGCAGGGGACCTTTTTGTGGTTGGGGGAAGAGAAGAACCAAGTGGGCTTAGGACACTGGTGCCAGGACGGGCCTCATGCAGGAAGCCCACATGAATGCTTCCGCCATCTCACCTTCCTCTGCTGCCTCTCGAAGATGAGCAGGAGAGTCAGGGTCAGGGTCACCGCGGTCAGAGTCACGAGCAGCACGCCCACCCAATGGTTCCCCAGCGCGAACATCTGGCTGGTGGAGTAGATATTGGCCCACACCACCACGTAGAAAACCTGCAAGGGGCGGGGGAAGCTGTGGTCAGAAAGCACCTGTTGTCAGGTGAAGCAACTCCGTTCAAAGGGCCCTTCCCCACGCCCTCATGCTTCGACATCCATCCTCCAGGGACTCGGCCAGCCCACACAGCCAATGAGAGTCCAGGGCTGACACTCCAGGGTGTGCGAACGGGCTGGTGGCCCTGACTTATGAACAGTAAATGTTAGAACACAGCTATTCTAACGACTCCGAGTCCTGGTTCCTCTGCTTTTAGGTAAGGCGTGAGCCTTGCAGTGGGAAGAGGAGGGCCTTCAGAGACAAAATTAAGTCCCCTGATTCTTCAGTAGCTCCACAGCTTTGGAATAGTTATTCCACCTCTGTGAGCCTTAGTTTCCACCTCTGTAAAATGGGAGTAATAGCTACACTTCACGGGGCTACAGTGAGGGTTAGCCAGGGAACATATGTAACTGCCTAGCACTTGCGGGAGAACTCATTGCTGCCTTCGGCGCCACCCCCTACTCCCTAAAAGTAGAACAAGGGAGTTAGGTGCACTCGTTGGCCATTTTTATATACAAAGAAACAGCCAATCAGTGGTTAAGAGCAGAGATGCTGAAGCCAGACTGCCTGGGTGCAAATCCTGTCTCGGCCATATAAATACGTGTGTGCATGTGCATTACCTGTACACATACATACACCTGAGCAGAGCTGGACTGGATCTGTCTATTGAACAGGTAGGGAAACCAAGGCCCAGAGAGGAAAAAGTCTTGGTCAAGCCCAGGTCTTGAGTCTATAGGTGGGTAACTCTCCTAATTACCAATGCTTTACCCGGGGACCTGGTCATCTACTGAATTCAGATCCATGGGGTACCACCAGCCCCCAAGCCCCTTCCCCACACCAGCAGCAGGCTCCAGGACACCAGATTAAATTCAGTCAGGCCACAGGGGGCCCTGGCAGGGGTCGGTGTGTGGGCCACCCTCTCCCCTTACCACGGCGAAGGCCAGCCGCATGGGCCTGGAGTTGTAGATGATGTATCTTCTCACTTGGGGTTCCAGGAGGGCGCTCTCAGCCAAGCTCCTGTACTGATCAGCAGGGAGCTGCTCGACCATGTGAGAAAGAGAGTCATGAGTCACGGGAGAACCAGTCCCCACCTCCTCCCCACCAGCAAGCACCACATTCCCAGTGCATGTGACCCTCACATGAAGGGGGACTGAGTACAGGAAGAGGTCGGCACACTGGGGGCAGCTCCAGAGTGCCACTCAGAGAAGAAAGAGCCTCACTGGAAAGAGAGGCCAGCCAGAGATCCAGGGGACTTCCCGGGGAGGGATCCTCACAGCAGGCACATGGAGCCTAGTGGTTAGGGCCTGACCCTGGCATCAGAAACCCAGGGCCGAGACAGTGGCCCTGCCACTAACTCCTACACTGTGTGACCTGGGGTGAGCCCTGTCTCTCTGAGCCTCAGTCCCCTCCTCTGTAAAATGAGAATCGGTGCCTCCACCTTGTCTAGAGCTTTGGCACACAGTTGGGCCCGCAGTGAACACGCAATACGTGGGCACCGTTATTCAGGCTGCAATATCAGTAACCACAGGAGTCCTGCTGACATAGCCGGACTGCTAACTATAAGGTGAGCATTCGAAACCACCAGCTGCTCTGCAGGAGAAAAGTGAGGCTGTCTACTCCCAGAAAGAGTTACAGTCTTGGGAACTCAGGGGCAGATCTACCCTTCCCTGCAGGGTTGCTGCGAGTCAGAAGTGACCTGATGGCAGTTTGGTTGGTTGGTTGGTTGGCTGTATGACCAATAACTCCTGTGGCTGTTATGGGACACTGAAATAGTTTCTTGTGCCAGCCTGGCCGATAAACACAGTGGGATTAACTGAAGGGCAGAGAGATAAATGCCTTGGTGAGCCTTGCCTTTCTTGTCTCTCGCTCTTTGATCATCGGACCAGTGTGTAGCTGCCTTGCTTGTCCTGCGCCTCAATTTAAAGGCTACACTACCTTTGGGACACCTAGCCTGTGGACTGTGTCGCTGTAAGTTGAGGTCCCTATAAGACATCGCTGGAGCTGGGACTGGCAGTTGGTGACCTGGCTGGCAGTTGGTGACCTGCCTTCTGATTGGCTGCTGTGCTGACATAGCCTAGCTCTCTCTACAAATAGAGGAAGATCTGGCAGCAGATTGGACTGGAAGGACTGCTAGTCTCTCACATCTCTACCACGGCAGTGAGTTGAATTGAGCCATTTGTAGTGCTTTATAATTGAACTGTCTCTTTCTTGTATTATATATTTAACTGTATATGATTTAACAGTTCATTCCTTGTTATACAGCTAGTTATCTTTATAAATAAATATATTAAATTATCAGCAATTTGATTTTATGTCTCTAGAGAACCCTGTCTAACACAGACACCAAGCTCTGTCTTAGAGCGCAGAGCAGAACTTCCCCGTAGGGTCAGCTTGGCTGCAATCTTTATTGGAGCAGAATGCCAGGTCTTGTCTCCCAAGAAGTGGCAGCTGGGTTCGAACCACCAACCTTGCGGTTAACAACCAGACCCTTAGCCATGAAGCCCCCGGGCTCCTCTTGATAACGATTAATAAAGTCCCAATACTGCACCTGGCTGTCTTCCTGCCCACACTCCTAGCAGGGGCAATGCCTGAGGAGCATAAGGATTTTCTGAGAGTGTCAGGAAGCAGAATGCAACCATGCAAACGATACTTAGGAACGGAGCAGTAGAATATGCAAGTCACGTGTGAGGTTCCACAACCCGGTCCGAAGACAGCTCCCTACTAGAGGTGTGTTGCTGTGTGCAGCCTGGAAGGACAGGTGGGAGAAAGCAATCCCCGTGTGGATGTGGCATCAGCACCCCCAAGATAAAGCTGTCCTGCTGAGAGAGCGCCGGTGTCACCATCGAGTGACTGCCACTTGATGTGACTCCCACACGTTCGGGGGTTCCCTGGGCCATCTCAAAGTGTTGGCACTTGATTGCAGTCTGTAAAGTGTGCGGCAGCTCTACAGAGAACTACGAACGTGGGGCACAGAATGAGCACGTGCTGTCGGAAATGGAGCCAATACTCAGGATTGGCACGGACTTGCAAGTGGTAAACATGTGATGATGAGGATGAGGATGATGAGGATGCATTATCTATGAAGCACAATAAAACAAAACATGGCTGCAATGCAATGTGGGCTTTTTGTTTGTTTCCCGCCAGGTTATTTATTTCAACAGAAAGAGCTCTCCAAAATGTCTAAGAGAAAGGTCTGGGTTCTCTGTCGCGGACTCACAGCCCCTGGACAGCTCAGGGTAGAATTGAGTCCAAGACTGTAACTTCACACAACTAGAGAGCCCGTCTTTCTCCCTCAGAGTGACTGGTGGTTTTGAACTGCTGGCTTTTGTATGGTGGTGGTGAGACTATGCATAGCAAGGCATTCACCACCTCGACAGAGCACATGTGCACAATTCAGTGGCCTGGTCCACCTTCCTTACGTGGTGCCACCATTCTCAGCCTCCAAGGGACTCTTCCCCGGTTAACATCAACTCACTGCCCCCCACCCCAAGGTTGCCATTCCCTTTGAAAGAAGCAAATTCTGAAGTCTTCTGGGTGAACTTAGCAGTGCGGCTTCCCAGTTGATAATTACTCCGCCCTGGTTAGCAGAGGGACAGTGTCATCAGGTTGAAGCCTCAGGAAGAGGGCACATCACACCAATGGGACTTCATAGCAGCAGCAATCCCCCCACGTCAGTCGGTATTGACGATATGCCAGGCCCGTCGCCCGTGTCCTACAGGCATGCTGTCCACTCATCCTCCCAAGCACGTGCCGGGATGGGTATTCCTGTCCCCCTCCTTTTGATGAAGCTGAGACTCAGTGAAGTGAAGTCTCCTGCCAGAACTCACACAGCCGGCAATCTGCACCCAGACCCATGGACCTAGGCAGCCTCAGCCTCGAGTCACTGTGCAGCCAGGAAGCGCATTGGGCTCTCATGAATCCACGCATCCTCTCTTTGCAGACGCATGCCTCTCCCCATGTGTCCTTCCTGCTGTCCACCAAGCAAAGTCCTATCTCTTCCTCAGAATCCCAGAGCACGTCTCTGCTCCTAAGTGAAACTTTTATAACCACTGACTCGCCAGGCTGAGTTTGTCAGCTTTCCCGTGAGTGCCAGTGCCCTGTCCGCTCTGCTCTTCATTTATCCGATCCATGTTCCTCTCCCCAAGAGGCACCAGGTCCCATGCAGCTGGACGATGTTTCGTGCCCAGGAAAGTCCCTGGCACATCACGGGCACCCAAAAACCTACTTTTGCTAAATGCACTCTCCTTATCTCCCCACCACATCTAGCAGACCATAATGTTGAATATGTACTTAGCGAGCAGTCGAATGGATTGATGGATGGATAAAAGGACAAAAGGAAGAAAAGAGGCAAAGAGAAAGGAGAAGCAATAGGAATCTGAATATGTATGTGTGTGTGTATATATA